GGAAGCGCCTCGGCCTCGGTGAAACAGCAACCGTACACGATGCATGCCGTAACGTGTATTTCAGAAGATCAGACGTTGAAACGATTCGACAACGTGCAGTACGACGAGTTAATTGCGCCGATGCGCGGCGGCCGAATGACCAACGGCGGAGGCGGCGGCGTTGCGGCGGCCTCTTACGAGGGTTGGTCGAACGCCGATCGCCACGGCTCATTTCCTGACTGCAGCAGTGCTGAAACCGCCGAACAGCGACCCGCCAAGCGCCCGTGGTAAGACTCCATCGTTAGCTTGCTCTTGCTCTCTTTTTACCGTTCACGTTCGCTCGTTCATTCGTCCTCAACCGGGCGGGATGCTGGCTGAACGCCGGAATGGCCGAAGTCGCGTACGTTTTCCGTTCGCTTCGCGTCGTGCCATTCACACACGTACTAATACACTGAGCAGGCGGCCATTTTTATATTTTGCCGGCCGCTGCCAAGTACCTAAACGAGGAACGTGAGGATATAACGCGACCACTTAAGGGTCAGTTTCAGCGTATGATCGCCGGCGTGTCTGCCGTCTAGGCGCTGATTGCCTGATTGACTTACCGCAATGTTCATGTTCTTTCGATGACCGTCGCTGGCCATGAACTGACCTTAACCACGTAAGACGAGCACAACATGCACCCCCCTCTCCTCCCCCGCCAGTTCAGGTTTGATCAGTAGAAAGTTGGAAGTTGGAAGCTCTGTTTTCACCGCGATGACGCTCGAAGTATTCTCAAGCATTTATTCAATTTCTGCGAGAAACATCCACGTTTATGGTTGTAGCTAATTAAAAATATGAAAAATCACTTGTGTAAAGCGACAGGTAGTTAAATGCCACCGATCTGTGCAGTAAGTGCAACGAGGGAGACAGAAACTCATGCTGAAGGTCAGCCTCATAGACGAAACTCAACGACAAATGAGAGACACCATGGGCCTTGGCTTATGTACGAAAAAAGAAGTCGCACCAACAACTTTAGTGCTTACGGCTGCCCTACGGTCAGCTGAATAACGTCGTTATTGCACTGCTTGAACCGTAAAAGGATCGCTAATATACGTAGCTGCGCAGTCTCTAAGTTTTCCGTTAAACGTCAAAATAA